AATCTATCACTTTCTCATATATGAATGTCCTCATGCATTGTGATTACAGTCAAATGTTGCTTCTCACATCCTATGAGGTCTTATACATGTAAGTAAATAATCGCTGATTAGTCCATGTACACTAATACATTGTACACAATATCGAGCCGTTTAGCTAAAGTATAGTCAGGAATCTAGTCGAGAAATGAGTGTGAGACTTGTGATGCTTTCGCTTTCATCAATTTATCCATAACTGCTACGAAAAAATTTATCACCCTTATTTCTCTCATATTTTTCAAATTGTCTTTCAACTCTGTAGCCCAGTGTATCTTTATAACCATTCACACTAATTTCTTTCATTATCACTATGGATAATATGCTTTCCTATATTCATTTCTCATCATTTAGTCTAACAAATAGTACCCAAGGCTAGGCACATTCGGACTTAGTCTAAATCATGTATTTTAAATGAAACACATTTCAATCAATTCAAGTAAGTTAAAAATGCATCACCAACCTTAACAACAATAAAAATCTAATTTAAACATATATTTATAAAATAAAGAAGCATACTATCACACTTTCATAAGCACAAAACATGTACAATGTTTTAATGATAAGATAGAGCTTTCCTTACCTCGATGCGTTGATTTGTGAAAATTTTTGTGAAAGAAATTATTCAAAACCAAGTTCTTTTTATATATTACAAAGTAGACACTTTTGAGACGAGAGAAAATCGAAAAATAGAAGTGAGCTTAGAAGATTGATGTCATGACCCCCTTTTATAAGAAACTGAGAACATTGTTTCTACACCACATACTTATTTAAGATAAATAAATAATAGAGAATATAAGTATAAAAATTCACTTTTCATTCAAAATAAAACAAAGTCTCTTACAACAAATATCCAATAGAACAACATAATATTACATTTAGTTCATAATATTCAAAATACCCAAAATTATACTACGTAGCTCCCTCTACATGAGGTCTCAAAATATAAAGAAAAAGAACTTTGATGCAAAATTACTCGACTCCAGCTTTTAACATTTCTCCACTGGCCCCTCAGCCTGTGAAGTAGATGCAACGCCTGCTACATTTATTCACATACCACCGTATAATCATCGCAATACACACACACACAACGACATAGAAAGAAATGCAAGGGTGAGCTTACAAAAAATAAAATAAAATAAAATTGTATATATATATAGAGAGAGAGAGAGAGAAAAAAAAAAACATTACTCACAGAAACAACCCTATGCATTACCAACCCATCTAATGCATAACATGAAAACGGTTTCCAACTGGTTTCACAGCCTAAGTAATCCAGAAGGAATCGAGCCCGTCCGAGAGCGACCCATTCTGGTATCTGGATCCAGACAGCACAATACAACAACTCAGCATGAACTTACCGTTACACGTCTACTCACCTAAACATGTAACTCAGCTCTATAATAATGCAAAACATATATCTCAGCATGATGCAACACCGCTAAAATTGTTTTAATAGCTGAATTAAGATAAGTTTATGATAGATCAGTCAAAAATCTTAGCATTTTAATCAATTAACAGCAGTTACAGCTTAGAAAATAGTTTTTATTCAACAGATCTAACAAAATCATATCAAAATATCTTGAAATAGCATATTAAACCATTCAAAAAGTAGTTCATAGGTTAAAGTAAGCTCCCCGTACTTTAGAACGGTGATTCACTTCAGATCTACCGAATATTACTTGTTTTATAGCAAGATTCACTGAAGATTTGGCTTTAGAACAGAGTTTCTCCTAAGAACACCATGAACTTCTATAAGAAAGAGAAAGAGAAGAGAAATAAACGGTAAATCTAGCTTCAAATTTAAAGAAACTTACTTCAAATCCCGTAACGAACCCAAAATCATAGATCTGGAGAGAAATCTAATTTTAGGAGGGTTTAATATGAGAGAAAATGGTGGTATATGGCTTTGGAACCTTTGAGAACCTTGGATAGGAGTGGAGAAATGAAAATTTGGTGTGAAGTCCCTTTTTTATAGAAAATTTTCAAAATTTACTGTTCACTGCCGGAATTATTGTTCATCACTAGAAATACTATTCACCGCCTTACTATTCATTCCGAAAACAGTGTTCAGGATACTATTTATGCCAGAAATACTATGCACGCATATTGTACACGCACTATACGCATATGTGACATCACTGATGACGGCAACGGTCACTGTACATATGCACTTTGTATGCGATTTTACTGTTCATAGGCAGTTTTACTATTCATTGACACTGTCATATGGTATTGTTCGCTTTTTTTTTTTTAATAATTTTAAACTCCATTTAAATCTATTCTAATAGCAAATAATCCTTCAATTAACATTTAACAAGTATAGATTACTCAATAATAGATTACAAGCCTGACAATTAAGCTCAAAAGAACTTACTAGGAATTAAACGGGAAAGACATCCTAAGTTTGGATTCAAAGCTAGTTTGGAATTCAAGGGAATTTTCCCTTGAGAAAAGAAAAAGAGAGAATAGAGAGAAAGGTGAGATGTATTTACTTGGCTTGTAATGCAAGTTTTAAAATAGGAAGTTCTTTAAATATCTTTTTTTCTTGTGTTTCTCATTTGAGCTAACAAGTAGGTTCTCACTTGAGCGAGACTCACTCTCGCTTAGGCGAGACCTTTCTTCCCTGCTCGATAACATCAGAAAAAAAAATTTTACTAAATTTTCTAATAATCTCGCTTGGACGAGACACCTTTTTGCTTGAGTGAGACCTAGTTTAGAGAACTCACATTTTTCCTGTGTCGTCTCGCTTGAGAGAAATACCTTTCACCATTTTTATAGTTTAATTTCTTTTACTAATTAGCAGTTTACCAAACAATATAGTCAATGTCATTTTCCATTATTATTTAACATTTTACATAATACTAATATATATATATATATATATATGTAATCAATCATTACCAAGTCAACTAAAATATTTGAATAATCAAACTGTAAAATGATACTGCTACCAATTTAATGATTTGTTCAACTTTAAAAATTTTAATTGGTAGATAGATATTATAAGATTGAATTTTGTTAATTGTAACACCCTTTTCTCATTTTTTGGTAATTATATTCTATTTAATATTGGGTAGCATTAGAGTGCATTTAGAAGGGAGTACAGAGGATTTTGTGAGGATTTTGGTGTAGAAGATCTCGCTCATGAGAGGTAAATCTCGCCCAAGCATGATTGAGCGTGCAGAAATATCTTTCTACAGGGCTATCTCGCTCAAGCGAGATGATTCTCGCTCAGGCGAGATAGGACAAATGTTGCCCAACCATCACCTCGCCCAGGCGAGAGTGATGTCGCTCATGCAAGGTGAGGATCTCGCCTAGGCGATAAGGGTCACTCTGGCGAAGACCCATGAGAAAATGACATGCTCTTTGGACACAATCTCGCTCAGGCGAGATGGATGAAAAGATGTTTGTATGATGAGTTGAACTGTTTAGTTATTTAGACTAAGTGGTTGATACATATGTATTATGTGATGATTATTCAATATGAAATATTACTAAACTGACTGAGTGATTTTTGTGATTTTATGAAATATGTCTGAGTAAAATGATATGAGGAAATGATGTGAATATGAAGGTTTACGGTTAAAATTGTTTCAATGATTGTATACGTGGAATTGATTGGAATGGAATTAGTCTAGAAGTGCTTTACTAAGAACGATTTGTTGAGTGAGAAAGGATAATTCTGAGAATGACTATAAGAATCAGATTTGGATTGATCTAGTGTGAATAGTTACAGAGATACACTGGGGGTATAGAGTCTGGAGATGATGAAAATCTGAGAGAAACGTAGGGTGGTGAGCGACATTCGCATATAAGTATACACTCTTTTTGAGAGCGAATGTGTCACATGGCCTCATACTCGGTTACTAACTAGACTCCTGACTATGCCTTTGTTAAGGGGCCTGATTATTGTATATGTTGTATTCATGTACATGGGCTAACCGACGACTATTTATCTAGTTGAGTAAGACCTCGAGAAGTGCTAAAGACATCGGTATTTGTGATCACAGTGCACTGAAGTGCGTATTGGAATGAGAGAAAGGAAAATGAATGATAAATTATTAAATGTTATGTGTGATGTAAATATGTTTACAAATATGAATTTATGAAATTGAATATGTTATATGTGTATTAATATCATGATTATATGCTAAATATTTGTAAAGGATAGAATAGACGTTCATCCTTACTAATAATTTCAGGGAATCAGAATGATAGAGCCTCAGGAAAGAATTAGATTAATTGATAGTTCTGTACATTTTAGGTTAAATTATGTGTTTAATAAGTATCAAAGGATAAATTATTTTAAATTTTCTATACTAGTAGAAGATGAACCTAGGGTTTTTATTATGATAGAAATAGATTTTTCCTGTAGTATTCCTTTTGACTTCCCTAGGAGTAGGATACATCAGACTCTCTATGTATATATGTACCGAGGTACTTTTAGGATCTCAGTAGCTTTTACTTATCTTTTCACTTACCACGACCATGACTCTCTCGGAAGACAGTTCAGATGAACCTTTGAGCACATCACTAGCACAGAGGTTAAAGTTGATTCAGGCGATCTTTACCTGATATCATACAAGGATTTGGATTCAGAAGACTTAACTGAGATAAAGAACTGGCATGGAGTGGATGAGTAGGACCAATCTTCAGTAGTTGGTTTTAAGGAAGACTGCTCTAAGGATCTGTATATTTTTATCGATTGTAAATATTATAATTAGGTATATATTTATTGTTGTAAATCTCAATTATTTTGACAGACAATTTGTAATATTTAAAGTTAAAATATATATTGTATATATAAATTTCTTATGAAGACTTCTAAATTGTAGTTATGATGTTTATTTACTCCTTTCAATCTTCATTAATGTCGTATTATTTATATTAATCTATATCAAACTATTTGTATAAGGTACTATATTTTATAGAAATTTTCATTAATTCAATATAATTAGTTCATTAGATTCTGCAAATGATAATTTATTTTAAAGGATTAAGTAGAACTTATACATTGTATTTTGAGAATAAAGTGTTACATTAACAACATTTAATATTTGAACAATGACATGTTAATTTCAAATGATTAAAGAAGTACAAAATGACCTAAAATATAAGACATGCTTGCATATGCCACTTTGATGAGGAATGAGCATTCATCGCAGTTCAACAATGCTAAATACTATATCAACGGCATAATCAATTCATTCATCTTTTGTGAATCCTCTCTTTTCTTCCTCCTTACCATCTTTTAAATTGATAGAACAGACATTTTCATTGGCTTGTTCCAAATCATCTTCCTTGTTCTTTTCACTAATTTCTTCCAAGGGCTTGTAAGCGTAAAACCAAGCACATATTACATAATAAATAAGATTTATAACTTGAATCCCACTAACAAGAAAATAATAGCACTCCAATCTACCCCTATTGAGGTTCCTATCTGGCAACCAATTCCTCTCCTTACCAGTATAGTTATGCACTAAGGTTACCAATAATGTACCAATATAGTTCCCGATGGCTGTAGTTATGCAATATAGAGCAGCAGCACTACTTCTCATACTTTCAGGTGATTGATCAAAGAGAAATTCCAAGTGTCCAACAGACATGAAAACTTCAGCCACCCCATGGAGACAATACTGTGGTACTAACCAAAACACACTAATAGGAATAGTGGCTTTTGGATCATCCAATAAGTGGTACTTGGCAGCAACAGATTTCCTTTTGATTTCCAATAGTGCTGAAACCACAGTGGCTACTATGTTTATTATAAAGCCTATTCCCATTCTTTGTAAGCATGTGATTCCAGAAGGGTTCTTAGTGAATCTACGAGCAAAGGGAACAAAAAGGCGTTCATAGAGAATAACTCCTGTCATCATGGTTAGAACACTGAAAATAGACATGCTAGCTGGTGAAATTTGGAATGAGGGAGAGAGGTGTCTATCCATTGATCGAGCTTGTTGAATCACAAAGCTATGTAGATGTGATGAAGAAGTTACAAGCAAAATCCCAGAAGCCCAAATTGGAAGCATTCTAATTATAGATTTTAGCTCTTCAACTCTGTGAACAGTGGCTAATTTCCATAAGTTTGGTGTTACATTTGGATCTCTTGCCTCCTCCTCCTCTGTGACAATTGCTGCCTTGTCCAACCATCTACACACATATATATTTTAGTAGTTAAGTAATATAAAGTGTACATGTGTAAATTCTCATTGAATATGAAGGCACTTTCAAATGTTGGGTCAATGAAGTTCCATGTCAATTTAGTGCAAAGTCATTCATTAGTTTGTTCAGCATATTCATACATATAAAACAAGAGAGTGAAATATGGACTTTTAAGTTGATCATCGAAGGCGTCATTATTTGAAGTTGGTGTATATAATAAATCCCATGAAATGAAAAATCAATAATAAGTTTGGTTTGAATCAAAATAACCAAATGTTTAACTTACTTATATTGATCAGAGTGCAAAAGCTTCCCTTCCAAAGAAATAGCAGCATCAAGTTCCCAATTTTGGTACAAAAGCTTGGTATCTTCTGGCAAAGGTTCCTTTCTTTTCTTTATAGCTGCCACAATTACTTGGGCTAAACGAACCAATGGGCTTCCTTCTGGTTTAACAGTCTTATAGAGTGGTGAGCCCAACACAAAGGCAATGATGGATATGAACATGGCAATGGTTGGAATTCCAAGGCCCCAACCCCAACTCATATTGTCTTGAATGTAAACCACAATGGTCAAAGCACTTAGAGAAGCCAATCCCATGCTGAAAAAGTACCAATTGAAGAGGTTCCACTTCCTTGATGCCACACCATTTTTGGACATATCAAATTGGTCTGCTGAAAAGGGCACAACACAAGGTCTAATGCCACCTGATCCAATAGATGTGAGGAGAAGACAAATGTAGAGAATCCATAGTTGTGAGGATGAAGCTTCTTGGCAATTCACTTGTGTTGGACATGGTGGGGGACGCAAATTTGGTAGTATAGCTGATACTGTGATACTAACCAATCCCTGTGTCAAGCAGAAGAGTATATTACAAAGTTGATTGGAAAATTATACTAGAATGGAAAATGCTTGTTATTCAAATCATTTATTTGGATTTGAAACTTCATGTGAATGAAACAGTGATGTTTCAAGTTTGAGAGTCCTAAAATCTAAATAGATTAAAGAGAAAAAAAAAACGAGATTAATGTTGATAGATTTCTTTTTTAATTTTTTAATGCAAGGTAAAAGAACTAGAATGATTAACTACAGGGGTATGACTTAGTGGTATCAAATAAAAAATGAGAGAAATGTCTGCAGAAAAAAAAAGGTTTAACTTTAAAAAAAATCTATATTTTATTAATTTTCTGTGTAATATCATTGTTCTATTTCTCTATGTGAAAACACATAATAAATATAGAATTTCTAAAAAATCTTGCATGAAAAGTTAAAATATTTCTTTACACATTTTAAAGAAAGATGTTTGATATACTACATATATGCCCAAAAAGTTATTTGTGTAGTCTACAAGCAATACATAATAAAAGATTAAAAAAAATATATTGAGGAAGAGTAATAATATCACCCAGTCAATAGTTGATATATAATTAGATGACAACATAACTTTTGAGAAAGCGTCTACAACATAGTATTCTCCAAACCCATTGCAACTCCAAAAAAATAATATTTTTGCGAGATGTCAGTTTTTTTTTTAATTAGATGACACCATATATGATTAGACTACAGTAGTTTATCAATATAAAAATGATGAATTATAACTATTCAATTAAAATAATTAAAAATATAAATTATTTAAAATAAGTAATAATCTAGCTACAACATATGAATATAGAAAAAATGATTTCTGCTTTTTCATATCAAGGCTACCTTAATCTTTAGGTGTTTAGTTGTTTCATATGAAAAAAGTAGGCTTAAATAAGTTTTTTATTTGGTTTATTTTTTTTTTATCATTTCTCTCAAAAATTATTTTTCTTTTTATTTGGTCTCACTGTAATATGTTAACTTATTATGTTATTTACATAACATTTGAATTGACTCATAATTTTATTAAGAAATGAAATGAATAAGATGTATCATGAATAACATCATATAAAAAAATTGAGGTTATAAAATTAAGAAGAACGCTAGTAACAAAATTTCTAACATTTTTTTTAACATATTTCTTATTATTAGTTAAAATTTATTAAAAAAGATATAAAAAATCAAGTTAAGAGTAAAAATAGTAAAATTCACATGATTTATGTATTTTTTTTAATAAATTTTGTGTTAAAAAAGGTGTATTAAAGAGAATGTTACTAGTATTCTTTTAAAATGAATGTTTTTGAAATTGAAAAATAAAAATATATATCATACCATCATTTATATTCACATTAATATCATATCACATGAGTTAATTTAAATGTTATATAAATTAATACAAATAACGAATTATTTGTATAATGATTTATGAATAAAAATAATAATTATTAAGAATTTTGTGTAGACAAAATTAAAAATGAGAAATTAAATATACAAAATTGTAAAAATTTTAAGTATAAAAACCTCATTTAAGGCAATAAAAAGATTTGATATAAAAGTATTGAAAAGAAGTGTAATTAAATGAGTAGGTGAAGATGATAAGCTTAGATTGCAGAGGAAAGGAGAGGGTAAGAAACCATTTCATAAATGAGAGAAGCAACAGTAATGGTCCAAAATCGGCCAGCAAAGGAATCTGCTATAAGAGCCCCAATGAGAGGAGTGAAACTCGATGTTCCTCCAAAGTTTGTCAGTGTGTTTGAGGCAGATACCAATGGCATGTTCAGCTCTTGTGTCAGGTAACTTATCAAGTTACCATGAAAACCAGCAGTTGCAAATCTGTCACATACTTCATTTGCTGCATTTGTGTATGTATATATATATACCCAATAACTCCAAATTAACTTCATACTCAACCATTAAAATAAACAGTTTTTTAATTTTAAAAATAAATATATTAATAAACAGTTTTGATTAAATTTAATTTAGTGCAATAAAACTTCACTATAGTAATCCAGGTTCGCACCACACCCTATTTTGTTTTTCCCACAACTTTTTCTTGGTTACAGAAGATTATTATTCATTCTCTGACCCACTTGTGTGGATATCGTCCGTTGGTACATCTGATAAAGGACACTATACACTATACTTATATATGGCTGGAGAGATAAGAACAAAATATTATTTAATCCTTCCTTCGTTTTTATAAGAATTATTTAGAATCTTTTTTATCTTTTAATATAAAATTCTTTAAAATTTTAAGGATAATAATAATTTTTTATATATTTATCCTTTATCGTTAATTTTTAAATTTTCAATAGTTAATATGATAATAAAAAATGATTTTAATTAAATATAAATTTAAAATATTGTAAATAAATTTTCAAAAATTAATACATTAACAGTTGAGAAAAAAGTAATTAATTAAAGGGCAATAGTTAGTAAAGCTGATAAAATGATGGTTCTAGTTATGTATTTGAAAGGTCCCATCTATTATTTAAAAAATTGTAAAAATGAATGATTAATAGTTTTTTAAAATAAATTCCCAACACGTTGTTAATATAATGTATATAATTTTTTTGACAATAAAAATATTAAAATAAAAAAAGCATTACAGCATATTATCATCGCAATATTTTTTTAAAATAATAAATATCCTCTATCATAAGTAATTTTATTTCAGTTAAATAAAATTACTATAATAAACGGCAAAGTTTTAATTCCGAATATTTAAGCGATCTCCAATGAGACAACATTATTGTACACAGTGAAATTGTAGAAAAAGTTATATTTAATGTTAAGAAAAAAAGTATTTAAAAAAGCTAATATTTATTAATAAAGAACATAAAACACCTAAAAGATCAATTATACTTGCATTTTATCCTTTCAAAAACTATAAACATCTCTCATTTATCGAAGGATAAGTTGAAGAAGATTGAGTGAGATATGAATCTGCACAAGTTAATTGATTAAAAAGGTAGAACTTTGGAATAGTAATAATAATGAAGAAATGTGAGTGGCATACCAAGGATGAAAGGTAACGTTCTGAGGCCTCCTCGTCGATGGTGCTTGGTCTTGTTGTGTAGAACTTGGTCCTCTTTTTTCTCCACCATCTCTAGATTGCCCTTAGAGATACTTTTCTTCTCTGTCTCCATTTCTGTTCTTTCTGGATTAGTGGCTATTGGGTAGTGTGTAGTGTACCTTTTGGGTGTGCCTCTCTATATATATCAATAGCTGTAATATGAAGACACTTATGTGGGGTCACATAATTCAAGTAGATCACCACTTATTTTATGCATTTTTTATTGTATATAACACTTTCTTTTCTTCGTATACCATTAAACACACAACGGTTTTAAAAATTTTCCTTGATTGGTATAAAAAAAATGAGGATACTGTGATTGCTAAGAAATTAAAAGTAAACAATTAAATATTTTTTATGTATTAGAAACTTAACAAAATGTTTTAAATAGTTCTGTTTTTATCTTTTGTTATAAATGTATTTTTCAGTATTAGACCTTATAACAACCAATAACATTTTAATTTGCAGTTTTAAAATGCATAAAAAAAATGTCAATATATTCTTTTTAAATGATAATAATAAATTTAAAGTATCAATGTGTTCTTATAGTTTCACTAAATTCTTAAAAATGTTCTTGATATCTAATATTTTTTTAATGATGTCTCTATACTACTAAAACATTTCAGATAAGCCGTTATATTTTTAAATAGGTCTTCACTGTCAAATATAATATTTCATAATTAAGTGCCTAAAACATATAAAAATAACAATGCAGAATGGTATGCAGGCCCGTGAACGCAAACCTCTATTAACTTAGACTAACGAACGTCAACGAATTCCTTAAATCATACTTTATTGAAATCGAAGTCTTAATTAAGTAAGGATTTTTTTTGTAATTAAATAAGGATTTTAAAGTTGGTAAGAGCGCTAAAATTTAGTTAAATTGATAAATCTATTAACTATGCATAATATTTTTTTTATGAATATGGTAGTTATTGAGTAAAAAATATATAAATTTAGTTAACTAAATTCTATAACATTAAAGTAAACGTTAATTTTTGTACAGTGAGTAAAGTAAGTGAAGGGCTAAAAAACAAAATACTGCCGTTGGCGTTGCATAAATGTATAGATAAAGGATTAAATAATCTCTTGAGTTTTATACAACATTCTTTTTTATAATTTAGTTCTTATAAGTAAAAAATTTATACATCAATTTCTATACAAAAATTTATTCCTAATTTAGTTTATACCATTACAGTAAATTATAACAACTTGAGTTTTTGCTCATACTTGATAGAAGGTTATTTAACATAACTCATTATTTATACATTTTTAAGGTTTAAATGGTTTTTTTATCCTTCGTACAATATTTTTTTTCAATTCATTTAGTATAGATTCCTATATGCAAATTTATTTGCAATTTCATTCATGTTACAGTGACATTTTTTCATTATCTTTAGAAGAGTGTTTTATATTTTTTTAAAAAGTCTTGTATTTTGCTTCATATATTTTCAATTTATGATGTCCAACTTTATAATACAATAATCAAAGGATACATATGAAGAAAGTTATTAAATTTTGACACAACTTAAGGAGAACATGACTAAGATTTGAGAAATTGGGATAAGAATGATAGAGGAAAAGATAAAGATTATGATGAAAATATGATGAAGCAAACAATTAGTGATATTGAAAATAAAAATGCTAGAAGTAATGTTTATATAAAGATCAATCAAGACATGAAGTCTTCTTATAATGGTTCTTACATGAGTTCAAAGCAAAGAATATTGATTTATATAATGAAGTTGAATATCATAAATTGAAAATGCATGAGCCAGAATGAGACTTTTAATAAGTTTGTATTTTGCATATATATATATATATATTATCAAGTTTTTATACTAATTTCTATGATTATTGTGTAGATTAATATGAAAATGTTACAATTAAGTTTTAGATACATTTTAGACGCAAATTGGTTGAAAAATAGAGTTTTGCAGTAACTAGCATGCCCATGTCCCAACGCTATTAAAGGAACTTCATGGGCAGAAGTTTAGGCATCTCTTTCCACATCTTTTTGATATCTCTCTTTTGACATCATTGATCTATGTTTGGTAGCTGTTGACTATTATTGGATCTTCGAGAACGTATTTTGGGATTAGGTTATACATAAAAAATAAAAGGATATGTTTTGTAATGAAAAAGTTAATAATTATTAGTTGGAAATTATAGAGGAAAGATTGTCAAACTAACCGTTAGAAGTCTCTAAGTACTTTTATAAATATCCTTTGTAATCACAATTTCTTATATGAGAAAATAATATTGAATTTCCAGGAATTGAATCCCTTTGAGTACTGTGTGTGTTCTTTGATTTTACGTGTGGGTCCCGCATTCGTGATTATAGTGAGAAGGTGTATAAGTGGAATCTTTTCCACTTATAACAATTGGTATCAGAGTTAACTAGCAACGACAATGAGAGGTTCAACAACAAACAAGGATATTGAAGAACGTATTCAAGTCTTGGAGAAAAGATTGGAAGAATGTCTTGTTGAATCACGTCACGACACAAAGAAGCGATGGAGTCAATGTCAGCAATGCTGGAACAAGTTGTTGCAAAAATATCATCAATTGGTTCCACTTCTAGCAACAAACCTGAGATCAAAGTTGAAGACGAGAATAAAGTCAAAGGATGCAAAGTGCTCGAATGTGCTCACATTCCATTTCTTTCATTTGATGGATCAAACTACCGGGAATGGCGTGCCAAGGTAGAACAATTTTTTGAATTAGTAGATACGCCAGAGGAACAGCAAGGGAAACTTCTTCTTCTATCCATGGATGGAAAGGCTTTCACATGGCAGTGACAATACATGGCGTTCAATGCATCCAAGAACAAATCTTGACGAACGATCTTGACTGATGTCGCAGCACGTTTTGACATGGGTAATTATGATGATCCACTTTCTGAATTATCCAAGTTGAGATAAGATTCAACTATGATAGAGTACCTTGAAAGATTTGATGAATTATTAGCTAGAGTAACAGTTTCTGAGGAGATGGCAATTAATTTTTTCTTAGGAGGCTTACATTCCTCTTTGGAGAAATCTGTTCGTGTTCACAATCCTAAATCTATCCAAGATGCCATGCGAATTGCACAACTACAAGATGATATTATAAAAGAATTGGAGAAAAGATTAACAATAGCAAAGAGTCCCTATTCTGAAACCGCAAAAGGGAGAATTCATGCTTGGAGCTATTCTAATGAGCCAACGAAACATTCTGATAAATGCTCTAAAGACTTAATCCTATATTATGATAATTGAGAGTTTTTAAGCTGTTCATTGATAGATATTATAATTAATCTCATTTTATTTATGTTTCAAGAAAAAGGATCAAGGATATGAAAACCTCAAAGATGTCGAGAATTGAAGAAAGGAGAACCCAGAGATATACACGGGAAGATACACGTCCAATATATGGTCGTGTATCTCACTGGAATGCAAAGAACAAGGAAATATTCAGCCAGAGATATACACGGGCAGATACACGCCCATGTATATGAGCGTGTACATCACTGGTATTGTCAAGGAATGCATCATTTGGGCAAGAGATATACACGGTCAAGGTGCATGACCATGTATATAAGCGTGTACTTCATATAAAGATTGTGAAGGCCAAGTATCACAGACCAGAGATGTACACGGCCAGATACACGGCCGTGTACATGAGCGTGTACTTGTCAGAAAAGATTTGAAGGACACCTATTAGAAAACAGAGAAGTACACGACCAAAGTACATGGGCGTGTATTTTACGCGCGTCATAAATTTAACTTTTGCGAGAACCCTAGGACAACTCCTATAAAAGGAGAATTGGTCTTGAATCTGAAGAGGCAGTTTTTGGAGACGAAAAACTCAGAGACGGCAGGAGGATAGGATCAAGCGTTTTAATTCATCTTTTTTGTAATTTTAATTTCAAGATGTTTAGGTTCTAACTTTCCTTTGAGTATCTAGATGTAATGAATCATAATTAACTAAATTTTCTGGAATTCTTCTAATGTTATTTCATGTTCCTTTCTCTTGAGTTTAATTGAGTAGTATCAATTTTCTTCTATCTTGTTTTCTTGTTTGAATTTGAGTAAAATTCTTGCATGAATTTAACATTGCTCAATTAAAAAGACTTGAATGTATTTCTAGAGATAGAAAGATGTGAGTTTTCTGTATTAGGATTAACCCTAATTATAGAATTCATAATGAACTTAATGCAACCTAGGGGTATTAATTAAGGAAGAGATTTTGATTAATCAACTGAGGGTTAGGAATCATTATCCTTGAGAAAGGTATTGATTTAAATTAAAATTTCCTGCAGCGATAAGGGTTTGGAACTAAGTAGTTGAAGAAGAATTTCAGTTATTTGGATACTTAGGGGGATTTACAGTCTAGATACTTGCCTTTTTCCTTTGAATACCTTTAGTTATAATTTTCTATAATTTATTTTCACAAGAATATCAGTTTCTTTTAAATTATTATTCTTTTACTTTTAGCAATTTCATCAACAAAGTTTATTTTTCATATTTATTAACAATTACGCAATTAAGGAAGTAATTCTTAATAACAGTCCATGTGGATACGATACTTGATACTTTAATTTTAATAATATTACTCCGACAACGGGTATACTTGCCCAGTAATTCAATTTTTACACACCACATTCCTATCACTAATCTCTAACAATCTCAATCAGCAACATCTATTGTTTCTAATACATAGAAAGAGACCAAGACAGCGGGTGCTACTCCAAATAGAAAAGAGATGAATGAGAGAATTTTTAAAGGCCTGTGTAGATTTTGTGGTGAACCATGGAAAAAGTTTTATAGACAGAAATGCAAGGTCTGGGGGAAGTTAAGTGTCATCTTTGTTGCACAAGGAGAAGACAGTGATGATCAATTAGAATTTGAAGATACAACAACAGTAGAAGAAGCCTTGTACATTGAAAACTAACTTTTGCATGAGGATTATGTCTACATTTCTCTGCAGGCACTTAAGGGCATTGTTGGAGGCCAAACATTACAGCTAAGAGGCCTAATTAAGAAACAAGAGGTCCCTTTTTTAATGGATATTGGCTCTACTCATAACTTTATCAATGATAAATGGGTTAAGTCTCTAGGACTCAAAAA